TCAGTGGCAAATTAAAAAAAAATCCTCCTGGGACCTACCCTCGATCGACTTAGCCTTCTATAGGTACCTGAGGTGGTGTGCGATTGGTCCTGTGCTAGGTTTCTTGGCTGCTACACATTTCCACGTGATAAGCCACATCGCTGAGCTATCATTTGTGGCCACTGAAAAAGAGCTATTTAGCTCAGTGGGCCTTACCTGGCAAAATAAGAAAAAATTGTTTAGTTTATACTGCCTTCCATCGAGGCGACACGCAGCATCACACCATCATTACATGCAAGGTGCTCGCCACAAATGAACCACAATCCCTTGCTGATATTATCAAGGAACACAAAGCATCATCACGCGAACTTCGGTCACCCACTTGCGTGACTCGCTTTCAGATGCGCCCCTGCAGCCCTCCGGAACGCCGCCACCTCCAATATGAGGAAGCCACTGGAACTATGCACTTTTAAATCTAGATTGAAAACTAATTTCTTTCGAACTGATTTTTTGTGTTGGGTTTGTCGTCCTTCCCCCGCACCTCCGACGAGCACGGTTGGCTACGTACGGTGCGAAACGAGTTCAAGACACACACACACATGCATCAGCCATGATCAATCCGCTGCTGGATGAATGCCTCCCATGGTCGCCGTCGCCTCTGGCGATCGTGCGACGTCACGATCCGCCCCCATCAGCACCGGCGCGTGAACCGACTTACACGCGGTACCAGGTCATTATCTCAGGCCGAGCAAACCTGCGAGGAGGGGAGTGGTGGCGCAGCGGTTCGCACGCTCTGTGATACGAAGCCCGGCAACCCGACAACATTAGTGGCGAGCTAGATCTGTGACCCGCACGGTCAAACGACCCCCAATGAGCAATGCGGTATGGCGGCCGGGTGGACGGGGCGGGCTTCATCCAGGCAGAGTCTGTTACGGCTACATATCTCTGCGGGGAGCAGGAGTGTAGTGTCGTAGCGCGCTGTTCTACGGACCCGGCAATTCGAGTTAAAGTCCCACTTGCTGCCGGCATCAGCGGCAAATATCTGAAAAAAGTCCTGCTGCCAAATCGACCGAGAGGAAGGCCGATTGGAATGAAGGGCGGCCTTCGCCGGGCTTCCCTTCAGGGTTGGCAGGCTCCCGGCGACCTTCACGACCTGCATGAAGCGAACCGACGATCTGATGGCGATGCTGCCTTTGCGGTGCTGCACAAAAGCACAATCAACAACAACAACAGCTCAAGCCATTCGGCAATAGCACTGTAGCCTTGTAAACATATGTATAAAATAGGCGACGTTTCAGGCAATCGCCTTTCCTCACAGCACATAAATAGCACATTATAGGCACCCCCCCCCCCCAGCTTTAACGACGTTACCACGCTTTCCTGTAAACCCCGTCGTAGAAAGTCGGACGGACCGCTGTTTTCCCCCAAGGCGTTCAGTGGAAACAGTCGGAACGTCTCATGCCGATGTGTTGCGTTTTCTTTTTTCTCTCCCTTTCATCGGCCGTCTTTTAACAGGGTCTTGACAGGTTACAAAAGAAAAAGAACCCCGCACACAAAACCAACGCTCGAGGACAAACGAAAGCTCCACGGCCGAGTGACGCCGGGACGCCGGGAGTCGCCGTTCGGAAAGACTCCGCCGTGAGTCAAAGTCTCCGCGTCGTCGATTGATCCGCGCCGGCGACGCGTGAACGTCGTGCGAGCGGATCGTCGCAAAGCGGAGACCGCATGCAACAGCACTTTTTTTTTTACGTGGTCAACTCTCCCTCCCCCCCCACCTTCTTCTGAGTATATTTTTTACGTGCTACGAAGCAGGTCCACTGCCCAAAAGCCACCTGATAATAAAGTGTTACTCACGAAGGCGTGGAGTTGTTTGTGCGTTGCCTTGAGGTTACGCGGAACGTGACGTCGTGGTCATGCGGTGCGTGTGTACATGTGTGTACGTGTGCGTGCGTGCGTGCGTATCGACTCAACCTCAAATGAGTACCTGGTGCTGTGTGCAAAAACATCACCACTGGGGAGACAAAGGCTGTCAGGAATGGTACTGGCCTTCCACCCCCTCATGAGCCATTTCGGCCTTCATGGGTGCTCGCTAACGGCACTTGCCCCAACAGTCTGTTAAGGCTATACAATGGATCTTTGTCTTTGTCCGTGATGGTTGCGTCACATATGTACGTATGTTGAACTTCTTTCGCGATGTACGTAGATCACCCTGCATAATTGGAGTTGTGGATTACTACTCGTCACATGATTACCACGAGTAACATTTTAGAGAAATTGGCTACGCTCCATTTGCTCCACCCTACCCCTGATTGGCTGCCTGTTCACTTAAAATTCGCTTAAAGGTTCTATAAAGTTATATGTTCGAAGGTAATTTTTTATAATTATTGCTATTAAAGTTCAACCGAGCGAGCACAGAAGCAAGATAGCTTCACCTGCTCACGACATCGATCACGCGAGGAGTAAGTAAGTGGCCGTTAGTTTAATGGCTCTCGGAAGTAGACCTGTGATATCCGCTTCCTTGGGCCGCTTTCGAACACGGCTGCAGTGCTCTGCGAGAGACCCCGACGGATACCCCATCTCACGACGCGGCAAACGATCGCACGATCCGGACGAAGGACAAAACGAAGATTAAGAAACAACGGGGTCAAACTTTTTACGTTTGTTTAAAACGTAACATTCAATCAAATCCCAGTAACTACATCGAATCTCCACAGGCGTTAGATCGTTCCATCCTCAACCTACGCGGGCAGCACGGGGCGCGTGTGCGTGTTGTGTGTCAAGCTCGGAGATGAGCGTTGCTGGCCTCCAGGGTCTAGTTTGAGACCAAAGTTGACCTCGGTGGCAGCGAGCGGCGGGGGGCGAGGGGGGGGAGCGGGGGGGGGGGGGGTGGTGGAGAAGGGGGCGGGGGTCGGTGGTGCGACCACGCCACTGAGAGCGGGGAGAGCACTCGCGCACCGTGCTCGGGGGGCGGGGGGGGGGGGGGCGCGGGGAGGTGGAGCGCCACCGCTTCCACAATGGCACGGCAATTGTAAACTTCCCATCGAGGGGCAAGCCCACCTTCCTGCGCTTCCTGGCCAAGACCCAGAGCAAATAACGAAATCGGGTCCACGCCTAAAATCGGCACCCTAATTACCCCCGCCGCGCTTCGAGATATGGGGGGGGGGGGGGGGGGGGCAGGTGAAAAATAATTAAATAACGTGAAAATCCGCCGTGCGCCGACGGTCCTTGCGCTCATGTGTCACACGTGAAACAAAACAAAAATTGGCGCTCGTTTCACTGCAAACTTCTGCCGCGTGGAGTGGGAACCGCAAATAGCTTCGCAGGAAAGCAGCCGGCATCCTATCTTATCATTGTCTCCACTCAACGCGCCGGCCAGTGTATGCTCCGGTTTTCGCGAATTACTTTTTGGCGATCGCCAGTTGCGGTGCAAATCGGTGGCGGCTGCAGTGGTGGCGGTCGCACCTCCGATTAGCAGGGTCGGCTGCATGAGGTGCGAAAGAAGTTCGACACTGGACGGTGGAAGCGTACGCTTTTGTGGATGTGATGAAGCGGCATTTTCAACGGTGTAAACCGGTTGAAAATGTTTCGTCTTTTTCCCCAAATGTATCCGGATTGGGCAATCAGCGCCGCATCGTCACGAGACGCAGAATCCGTTCGGATCCCTCGCAGTGCGACCCTTCGGTTTCAGAGAACGGCCCAGGGAAGCGGACATCACGGAGCTACCACTGAGATTTCTTCAAGTGACCTCCGGTCTGCACAGAAGGGAAGGCAACAGCACCATCGCACTCGCTCAGGTGACGCGTGTCCAGATGCCTGGGCTGGGATTGTCCACTCGCTACTCACTGGAGAGAGCAGGTTTCATCCGACGCGGCTGCCTGGATTCAAACCCAGGGCCTCAGCGCGGTGCCGACTCAGCACTCCGGACCTCTTAGAGACCTGCTGGTCACCTCAAACAGAAGACTATTTTTATATTTTTCTGTATGGTGCGGATTATTGTTGGGCACTGTTTCCAAAGTTTGGCAAAAGGCATTATCACGCAAGGATGTGGATTAATGAATAATTTTAACCGCGGGGCTCCCACAAAAGCCCTCTCCCTGTTGGGTACCCGTAGTCTCGTTTGCAACATATGCTGCGACTAAATATGAATGAGGGGCAGACGCGATGGCACAGCCCTGCTCGAGCATGGAGGGTGCACCTGTTGCCAAAGCGGTTTGTATGTATAATGATGAACTTATTTAGCGCTGTACGCAGCCAGCAGTGCTCGTCGGAGGTGCGGTGAAAGGACAACAAACAATAACACGAAAAGCAGTTCAATTGAAATGAGTTATCAATCTGGATTCAAAAGTGCATAACTCCAGCGGCTTCCGAATATCGGAAGGCAGAGCGTTCCAGACGGCCGCAGAAGCGCATCTGAAAGGACACGATGCGGTGACCGCCTCTGTTCGATGGTTAGCAGCCAAAAGCCGCTGCTGCGAGGATGACCAGAGAGTTGCATGTAATGAGTGCAAAAAGTGCAATGAGTTTGGGTTGGCAGGGTGGTGGCGCAGCGGTAACACTCGCGCCTCACAGCACGAAGGGCCTCGGTTCGATTCCCGACCCGGGCGCCTTTCGGTGTGGAGTTTGTTCTGCATGGGGTTTTCATCTGGATTTTTCTCCCATTTTTCTCCCACATAGCTAAAAAAAAAAAACGGTAACCTTTAAAACTAAGCTGATGTAGACGCAGAGCAACAGCAGTTGGTCAAGCCCAGATAACCGCGTCAGGAGTAGCGGAGTGCATCGCCGCTGTGATGTCTCCTTCGTATTTGTCAATTGGGGTGTTGCGTCGATACACGTGCCCCCGGTCTAAGTTCTGGACGACCACGGTCGCACGCTTAAAACTGCCCAAGTGGGACACACACAGCAGCGACGTCGCCTCCCGACCGCGACAACTTGGCAGGACCCATCCTGACGGACGCGTCGGGAGCGCTGCAGACAGATAGAGAGAGAGAGAAAGCGTGGGACGGTGCCTCCCACCAGCTCACCTTCAAGTAAAACTCCGTCGTGAAAGCGCCGTCGTCGAAGGGTTTCGTTTCCAGGTGCTCTGTCGGGAGAAGTCCATCCCGAGGAAGACGGACGTGCAAAGTTGGTCAGAGTCGCTCCACGTTATTTTAACAGGTTAGGCCCACTAAGCTATGTAGCTCTTTTCTAAATGTGAAGGGGAAAACCGGAGGACCCGGAGAAAAATCCACGCCACCCACGGGCAGAGAGACACGCAAACTCCAAATATACAGCAGGCGTCAGGGTCGGGATTGAACCCACGACTTCCTGGAAACGAGGCGAGGTAGTTAACATCTTGCCACAATGGCGCCCGTATGAAGCAGGGGGCGAGAATGGGCTGCAGTCCAAGCATCTCTTGGCGTTTATTCCAAGAAACCTAGCACAGGACCAATCAGTGGATATGTCGGAGAGATTTTGTACTTGCAGTGGGCACCCTTTGTGCGATGTTAAATGGGCCGCTCGATTAGCATGGGCGTTACTATTGAGTACAGCTGAATGCACTGCGCATCAAGCGGGTCATTAATGGCAACTCTTCAGTGGTATAAACGTAAGCATTAAAAAAAAACAAGAAAATGAATAATTTGTCCGATACATTTTAGTGTTTTGCCAAATTTCATCTCATATACCGTTATCGGCATGATGTCGTGATATGAAAAGTCTCTCATCCTCGTAAGCTTGGCCTTCTCTCTGTGCTCTCCAGATTGCGAGGTAGTTAACGCGTCGCCACTGCGGCACCTGCGGGCGGTCGGACGCGAGCGAGCGCTGGCGCAACGTGACAAGCGAAAGATTTCCTGGAAAACCGAAGCTTTGCCCCGCGCAGCGTGGAGGCACCACTCCCCCCCTCCACCCTCCCACCCCCCCGCGCCCCCCCCCGCCCCCCACCGCCCCACCACCGCACGGGCGAGCGACCCATCGCGAGACGAGGCCCTCGTGGGCACAGGAAGTGTCGGGGCATCGGGTGGCGCGGGCGGTGTGCGACCGGGTAAACACGGGGGGGGCGGCTCCGCCGGGCCGCCGGGAAGGGTTTTTACCATCGCACGGACGCGCACGCTCGCACCTATCGTTTGGCACGCTGGTCAGCTGCTGTGCTGTGTTGTGGGAGCAGGAGTGTAGCGGTCAGCGCGCTGCGCTACGAACCCGACAGCCCCGTGTTCGATTCCTGCTCGTGTTCAACACCGGTGACGATTGTATGAACCGGTCCTGGGCCTTCCCCTAGGTCGACTCAGCCTCAAATTAGTACCTGGTACGGTGTGAATATCGCCAATGGGGAGACAAAGGCAGCCGGGCGTGGTTTTGGCCACACACCCCCTCGTGTGCCGTGCCGGCCTTCATAGGTGCTCGCTAACAGCACTTGCCCCAACAGTCTGTGAAGGCTATACGGGGGATCTTTGTCTTTGTGTTGAAAAGCCGCCGTAAAACAAGCAGGCCGGGTTAGCTCAGAGGCCAAGAGCGCAGGGCTGGCACGGTTAAGGTATTGTTTAAAATTATTATATCATTATTAATGTTATATGTGACATGTATATAATGTTAAACGGTTGCTGAGAACGAATCGCCAAGTCACAAAACGCCAAGCGCTAAGAAACAAACCGCACCTTTAAAATGGTGTAAGTTCTAAGAGTTATCACATTTCTTGCATTGAGCAAGGTTATAAGAACTTTGGGGGGGGGGAGGTGGAAGAGACGATGAGATGCGAACCTAGGTGTGAGGCCGGGTTTCAACAGCATGCGATTAAAGACTGGATGTGTTCCGTGTGCAACGTGTCGATGATCTCAGCTTCAAATTTAGTGCAGCACTGAAATTGACCTAAATTCCGCGCATCACTCCCGAGTATCAGAGCGATGGGAAAGTGCTGCCCCCTACTGTGCGGTAGTTCTCCGATATCCGCTTCCCGCCAAGGGCTGCTGCTGCACTCCTCTGCTCTGCGAGAGATTCCGAATGGATGCTTCGCCTCGCGACGTGACATCCGGCTCAGGCAGACGTCCGTGTAACCGCGTGCACCGGACGTACGGGCACAACGGGCTCCCCAAACCACCCACCCACCGCGTCGCATTGAGACACTGTTGAAGCAAGCGCTGCGAGCGAGCGTGCACGTGAGCGAATGAGCGAGTCCGCGTGCGTGCGTGCGTGCGCGCGACTCACTGCGGCTGACCCTGGCTCCGCTGTCCCGGTAGTCTGCGATCTCGACGTCCTTGCGCCGGATGCAAGCGCGCAGCTCGGCGCTCTCGCGGCTCAGCACGCGCAGCATGCCCAGCGCCGGCGCCACCAGTTCGTCCCACACCTGCACACGCCGGGAGGGATGGCACCGACGGGTTCGGACGGACGGACGGACGGACACCGATGCTGTTAGCCTTGGCCCGGAATCGAACTAGGGCGTTCGCGTTCAGGGTGCGTGGGCGGCAGCAGCGACGGTGGAGAGGATTGTGGCGGGAGGCACGGATGAACAGGGTCAAGCTCTTCGCACTGCACAGCGTGCGTATGCAAGAATGTCATGTCGTCACAATTATATCATCATTACCATCACATAACCATCATATCACCATCATCATCATGTGATTATAATGATCATCTCATCACCAGCTCGCTCTTGCAAATGAGACTATCCTGGTCTATTGGGTTCTCATCTTATTCAATAAATAATTTGAAGTGCACCAATGTGTCCATCAAGAGCGGGAAACCTTTTCCTTTCTGATGGTAAATGAACGACATCATCTTAACACAGGGGATAACGTTTACAGTGGTACGATTCTGAATAGAGTTGTGGGTTATGCCACGCTGATCAGATCAAAATTTGTGCCGTTAAGAGCCTCCACCACCCGCCACATCCAAAATAATGTCACATGTCCAAGCATTTGATGCACACATTATCAGCTTGCCGATAAGCTGAAGAGCAACTGACAAATACAAATCCAGCAAAGTAATTTGGAGCTCTTGTATTATTATTCTGGCTTCCTAGATCTCGTCCTGACGACGTTTGATGCAGTTTCAAATTAAACCCTCCTGTCATCTAAACTTGGTCACGGTGGTGGGGAGGTGGGGGGGGGGGCGGGGGATCGTTCTTCAACTCAACCTGCGTGCTGAAACAACAACGCTCGCCGCGTTGAAGCGCTCGCAACGCGCGACGACTCGACCGTTCGGCTGCGTCGGGTGGCGGAGGGCGCCGACGACACAAAGTCGGTCAGGCCCGACGACCGATTACGGAATGGCGTCAGGGGCCTCTCACCGCCGGGTGCTCCGCAGGACTCAGTCGGAACTCCCAGCGAAGTGGCACGCCGCTCATCCGGCTCTGCAGGGCGACCACCGCCACCGTACCTCCCGCCTTCTGTTCCGGCTCGGCGGGCTCGCGTCGCGTCCACGAGAAGGCAGCTGCGGCGGCAACGGCGGTAGCGGCGGCGCCATCCTCACGATCGGCGGCGGCGGCGGCGCCGGGCCTCGGCAGCGAGCCCACGGCCTCGCGCAGGTGCTCGCACACACGCTCCACCGGCGCTCCGAGCCGCCGGTTGAGCTCCTGTCGTGAGAGGCGCAGACGTTACGTGGCTCACGAAGCTCCACACTTTCAAGTTTTAGATTTTTCGTAGGTAATTCGGCCGTATGGAGGAGGAGGTGGGGGATGGAGGGGGGGAGGGAGGAGGAGGTGGGAGAGGTAGAAGAGCACCAAGGCCAAGTTTGTGCCACGATTACACTCAACGCGCAAATATATTACGAAGCTTTGGCTAGGCCAGAAAGCGATCTGGGAAGCTACGGCGAGCTCACGGGAAAAGTCAAAGGACAAATCTCACGGACAAATCCAGCGAATTAGAGACAGCACACGTTGATTGAAACTTGCGTCAAGCTTACTCGGGGGTGAAAGACCAGCAAGTGACCAGCATGAAGATTCTCGACGCAGTGGACCAAACCAAAAATGTATTTCGCAACAATTACACGCGTCATGCTTTGCCCCTCTCCCCGCCCCCAAACACCAGCGATCCGATGAACTGTCACAATTCAGGGTCAACATTCCATTCAACGATCAATCCTGTACGATTCTACCGACCCTTTTTGTATTCTTCGATGGGTCTCTCTGCTAAGTCTGCCGGTCTCTGCATATATTTTATAAGTATATATCGGTCTGTAGAACTCCGTGGGTCTCTGTGCAGATCCTTGCTAGTCTGTGTCGTTTTGCCAGAGTACTGATTTAATACGGGGCCTGTCTCGCTTTGCATTTATGTACGTATGTTGAACTTCTTTCGCACCTGACGTGGCCAACCGTGCTAATCGGAGGTGCGTAACAGACCACCAGTCTCAAAGGGCTTTTACCTGCATATCACGGCCACCTCGTAACAACTGCTGCTCAAAGCGTGGAGGGTTTACTTTGGCCATGTAATTAAGGGATTGGGTTACTGCATTAGGTAAGTGTTTTGTTAGTGGGCTTGGTTGACGCTTGGTGTGGCAGCGGGGTTTGTCACTGCTACAATGACCGGCGCAGTGCAGCCAGGAGGGGTACGTGGAGGAGGACTGGCGGGGAACACACGCCCAAACACAACCACCCCCCCCCTAGCCCCGCGTTCACCGAAGAAAAAAAAAATGTCAACACGCAATCGCCCCGCCGTTTCCTCGCTGCGGCCGTGACGGTTTCTGCGCCTCGGAGATTAAGCGGCGAGCAAAACGCAGCCAACGTAAACAGAGGCCATCCCTCCGGGAGAAAAGAATTGTCTCTTTTGTTTCTTTCGCGTCGGTAATGAATATCTGCCAGGGACGTCAGCATTGTAGCTATCGAGATAAGTGTCTTTATATATAGCGCGCAGAGAGAACCTCCAAGTTCATCCCGCCCCGATCATCGCCTCCCAAGATATTTTTTTCATTTTGGCTGGGTTAAGGTGGCCGATAAACGGCTTTGCCAGGAGGTGGCAGGGAGACACAAGGGGGAAGGGGGGGGGGGGCCCTCACAGTTTTCCAGCGTGCACTTCTTCTTACGTAAGGCGGGAGGTTGGCGAGTGAGCCAGTGGATGACTGACAAATGTTTGAAATGCTGCCAGCGAACGATGGAAGTGGGCGGTGTGTGTGTGTGTACTATGTCGTGCCGAACCAGCACCGTGAACCCCGGTCATCCTCGCAGCAGCGGCAGCTTTTGGCTGACCATCGGACAAAGACGGCCACCGCATCGCGCGCTTTCAGATGCACTTCCACGACCGTCTGCTACGCGCGCTTCCTTCTGCTATTCGGAAGCCACTAGAGCTATGCACTTTTAAATCTCGATTGAGAACGCATTTCTTTAAAACTGCTTTTTGTGTTTAGCTTGTTGTCCTTCCTTGGCACATGTGATTAGCATGGTTGGCTACGTACAGTGGGAAAGAAGTTCAACATACATACATCACACGACTTGCAGCTCAGCAGACGGCAGATGCCCGCGCAGCGCGACTCACGACCTCCTCTTGATACCAAGATCCAGGACGGTCATTGTCAATGCGCCGCTTCTCGGTGGCAGCCCCAACAGTCTGGAAGGCCGTCCCTCTGCACATTCGCAGCATCGCCTCAATCGTCTCCTTCAAGAGACAATTAAAAACTCACCTCTATAACCACGCTTTCCAGTGACTCTGAGCTTGGCTCCGCGCCTCTGAATTGCGGCCGTTACGTCCGCAAATTTGCGCGCGTTATAAATTGCATTATATTATTATTATCATGAGATCTTGGGCTTGCGTTTTAGCCACCCATGATGCTAAACCTGGGTTCTCAAGCATAGCGAGTTGACTTTTATTTTCTCCTTATAAGCGTAGACTCGACGACGATTTAGCCACCCATGATGCTAAACCTGGGTTCTCAAGCATAGCGAGTTGACTTTTATTTTCTCCTTATAAGCGTAGACTCGACGACATTTCTTTGTCGACCCACCGCCGGATGAAGGCCTCCGCATGCTGTGGCGGTCATGGGAGGAGTCCGGCCACACCTCATCGTGCTAACCAGTGCTAGTCGGGTAGGGCCCAGGGGACTCGGTTCAAACATCCCTCGCCACCGACATCAACCGTGGCCACTTACATCGAACTAAACCGGGTTTCCTCTGCGCACTGCAGCTGGAGGAAAGGGCCTCCGCTAGAGGGAAGCTATAAATCGTCCAAAGATCCCCCCCTTGGAGGGTAATTTTGGCCTGCTCTACCACACTGGCCGGACAACTTTGAAGAGACGGGAGCGCCCCACGCTTTTAAACCCCCATGGCGCGCGACCTGCAAGGCCGACACAGAGCGCTCATTACCCCGAGTCGCTTCCCAACGTCCTCCGCGTTCATCTCTTCGCTCCAGAAGTGCTCCATGTCGGACAGCAGCAGGCTGTATCCGCGGGACGAGAACGAGGCCTTCATCAGGCACGGCCTGTCCTCCAGCACCACCGAGGTCCACAGCTGATCCGCCAGGCCGGCTCCATGCCTCCCCTCGTGGTCGTTGTCCATAGTTCGTTGTCCTCACCCGCCCCCGCGCCTCCTTGATCAGCGCGGTTGGCTACGTACGGTGCGAAAGAAGTTCAACATACGTATAAGTTACTCCCGTATTGGTCACGTGCATGCAACACAGCCGATGTAGGTTAATCCACTGCTGGATGGGGGCCTTATGCTTGCCATCAGATTCTACTCAGTCTACGCCAGATATCAGTTGCGCGATTTGGTCACGTGTGCAACCGAATCGCTTACATACGGCTGACGTCTCTAGCCTCTCTACGTGCCATTAAGAAGGACCATTGTCCGAAACGTCACCAATTACTTTTCCTTGCTCGCAACCGTTTGCGAGCTATTTGCCCAACCGGTTGCTCCCAGTAGAAAATGACTCGACTCTCCAAGCGACGAACCGCTCGGTGATTTGAAGCGACGAATTTTCATTCGCCGCGTGACGCACGTTTTGCAAGCTCTGATTGGTCGAGTCAATCCTTAACGCGTTGTCGAGGATCTTAAAATCTCACGGAATGAGCATCTATCTCGTCTGATCTAGGAAGTAAAGCAGAATAAGGCCTGGGCATTGCTTGGATGGGTGGGTGTATGTATGTACTGTATGTTGAACTTCTTTCGCACCGTACGTAACCAACCGTGCTACTAGGAGGTGCGGGGGAAGGTCAACAAACTAAAACACAAAAAGCAGTTCTTAAGAAATGAGTTTTTAATCTGGATTATTTAAAAGTACATAGCTCCAGTGGCTTCCTATAATTATCGGAAGAGCGTTCCAGACGGCCCGCAGAAGCGCACCTGAAAGTGCGCGACACAGTGACCGTCTGTGTTCGATGGCTAGCAGCCAAAAGCCGCTGCTGCTGCTGCTGCGAGGATGACCACCGGAGTTCGAGTGATGGTGTTTATGCTCCTGGACGAGACCAGCGAGGTGAAGTGGATGACCACCAACTAGGGGCCATCCATTTAGTACGTATGCATGGAGGAGGTGGGGGGTTAACCCAAATGCGTTCGCTTGCGTATGGGGGGGGTCTACTGACAATGTCCGTACGCATAGAAAACGGGGGGAGGGGGGGGGCGGTGGTGAAGCCTCGACAATAATTTGTCTACATTGGCTTTCAAATTAGTTAGATAGTCCGGCGGTGGACTATCCGTTTGCTTAAACACGTTCGTTCATATTATGGGACCTCCTTTGCCAGTATCAAAATCTAAGAATAGGTTTTCCCCTTTCTGGCAATAAAACAGGAGCCGTGTTAAGATGTTAAAACACCAAACTGAAACCTTTTGCAAGGAATCATGTCTACATTAACCACATATACTTGTGGTGAAAATACAAACAAACAAAACCTGCCTCCACCAGTATATGCGTGCGTACAAGGAGGGGGGGGGGGGAGGGGTCAAGTTTTGACAGATTTCTGCATACCTACTAGATGGATGGCCCCCTACCATGTGCGACGGACGGGTTCCGCTGCGGGTAGCAGTAGGAGGCGGTGCAGAAAAAAAATCTCTCCAGTGTTGTTGATCTCGACTGCCCCCAAAACACACTCGCCTACCTTCACCAACCCCGCACTGACCCGCGTGGTGAAGTATGGTCAAACTACCTCCACAGCAGGCAAAGCGTGGGGGAAGTGGGGAGGGGGGACTCTCATCGAGCTGTGGATTGACAGAAACGGACTATACACGCGTGTGACGCACTGAAACCCACGCATTGTTCAAACGCTTCGTGGATTCTGGAAAAATCGAAAAAATACATACACTTTAAATGTAAAATGACGTCATTAACGTTACTCTTTGGTTCTTTCGGTAAAGTCACGTAGAAAATCTAATACAATAATAATAGAATACGACGTTTCGGTTGCAACACAAGCAAACCATCATCAGGTAAGAATGAATGAAACAATGCAAGACACAGCATAGGCAGACACGCATGCAGAGAGAGACACACAAAGACACACCGAGCGAGACACACACCTTCTGTGCGTCTTTGTGAGTGTCTCTCTCTGCGTGTGCGTCTGCCTATGCTGTGTCTGTGATGTATCATTCATTCTTACCTGATGATGGTTGCTTGTGTATTACTATTTGATTTGATTTTCTACGTGACTTTACCGAAAGAACCAAAGGATAATTCATGCAGTCACGAAAGCTTCGAATCTAGTTTGTCATTGGGGGACGTCCATAAATGACGTCACGCGATTTTGGACGATTTTTGACCCCCCCCCCCTCCTCGTCACACGACGTCACAAAAAGTCAGACCCCCACCCCTCAAATATGACGTCACAAAGCTCTGCCCCCCCCAAAATAAAACATGCTTCAAATCGCGTTAAACTATTGTCATTGTAGTGCGTATTTAATGTGGCGCTGCACTCTGTCGTAGCAGAAAACTTCTATTAAAACGTCTATTTAATTAGGTAGAACGTTCTAGATTTAAAGCTTTCGTGACTGCTAGGATCCATACTCTTTGGTTCTATTGGGTAAAGTCACGTATGTGAAAATAAAAGAACAAAAAAATCACGACGTTTCGGCCACAACACAAGCGGCCTTCATCAGGTGAAGGGACGAGACTGTCTGGAGGACAGCGCTGGAGTGGAAGAAGCCACGCTTAGATCACGACCTTTAAGCTGTGAGAAGAAAAAAAGACCACGCGCCTTGACAAAGGAATTAGCATATAATTTAGCATTGAAATGGTTCATTGACATAGCTAAGTTAAAGTATACACATCCGCAGAGGTACCCCTTGACAAAGGAATTAGCGCTGGAGTGGAAGAAGCCACGCTTAGATCACGACCTTTAAGCTTGTGATCGCGGCATCTTTAGAGGAAGGTCAGCGTCTCGATGAGCTGTGACTTCTTGTCCCGTTGTCTGTTAAAAGCTCTAACAGATAGGTGAAAGCCCTCCCCATAGATGTTATCAATTCTAGATTTCAAGCTTTCGTGACTGCTAGAGTAGGTAGAACGTGTTTATTTTTTATTTAAAGTTACGCATTTTTATGTGACGTCACGTTTCTCACCCCCCCCCCTCGTCACACATCGTCACAAATGTCTGACCCCTTCCCCCCACTCCCTAGGTGCGTGACGTCATTTATGGACGGCCCCATTAACGTTGTTACATGCTGTGACGCCATGTCTCCGCCGCATTGTTGCTCGACGACGTCACTCCCCAGTGACGCCGGCGGTGACGTCACGGCGAAGCAACTTGCAAAATCGTCGTGATGTAAACAAAAACGATGTCACTCCAAAACAAACAAACAAAAACGTACGCACGTCAAAACAATAACAAGGTGACAGACCCCACCACCCACCCACCCCGCCGCGCCACACAATAAAACTAACGTGATGGTTAACAGCGCAACGTTTCATTCATTCGTTCACGTTGCACGCGGCTACGCACAATGCTTACACAGCAGAGGCCGCGTGTGCGGTCCGGGGGGCGTCTTCGCTGTCAGACGTGAGCGAGCTCGAGTCGATTTCTGTATTTCTTGCCCTCGTCCCTTAAAGAGCCAAGCGTTGCGCCGATCGAATTGTCCTTAAATGTTTAGGCGGCGGGGCAGGCGGCGGCGAAGTTTGTGCGCAACGCCGAGCGTTTTGGGCGGCGAGCGAGCGAGCACTTTTGACCCGGAAGGCGAAGGCGGTCCAGACGCAACCCCCTCCTCCTCCCCTCCTACAGTGGTGCCAGATCAGAGGTTTTATTGGTGCTAGATCAGAGGTTTTCTAGTGCCAGTTTAGAGGGTTTATTTGGCACCAGATTAGATGTTTTTTTGTCAGATCAGAGGTGTTTATGGTGTCAGATGAGAGGTTTATTGGGGGCAGATCAGAGGTTTTTCTGGTGTCGGATCAGAGGTTTTTCTGGTGTTAGATCAGAGGTTTTCCTGGTGTCAGATTAGAGGGTTTTTTGTGTCAGATCAGAGGGATTTCTGGTGTCAGATGAGATTTTTTTGTGTCAGATCAGAGGGTTTTCTGGTGTAAGATCAGATATTTTTTTTCTGGTGTCAGATCAGAGGGTTTTATGGTGTCAGATTTTAGGTTTTTGTGTCAGATCAGAGGGTTTTCTGGTGTCGGATCAGAGGTTTTTCTGGTGTTAGATCAGAGGTTTTCCTGGTGTCAGATTAGAGGTTTTTGTGTCAGATGAGGGTTTTCTGGTGTCAGATCAGAGGTTTTTCTGGTGTCCGATGAGAGATTTTTTTTGTCAGATCAGAGGGTTTTCTGGTGTCATATCAGAGGGTTTTCTGGTGTAAGATCAGAGGTTTTTCTGGTGTCAGATCAGAGGGTTTTCTGGTGTCATATCAGAGGGTTTTCTGGTGTAAGATCAGAGGTTTTTCTGGTGTCAGATCAGAGGGTTTTCTGATGTCAGATCAGAGGGTTTTCTGGTGTCAGATCAGAGGGTTTTCTGGTGTCAGATCAGAGGTTTTATTGGTGTCAGATCAGAGGGTTTTCTGGTGTCAGATCAGAGGTTTTAGTGGTGTCAGATCAGAGGTTTTCTGGTTCCAAATCAAATGTTTTTTTGGCGTCAGATCAGAGGTATTTGTCGAGAGGAGGGGTTTTGCTTCTGTATTACCTCAGATGTAGAAGGTTTTACCTCCGGTTCATTGGAGAGGTTTTAAACTAAACTCAAAACTATTTTACCAGGTAAGGGGCCGTCCATAAATTACGTCACGCACCTAGTAGGGGGGGGGTCAGACATTTGTGACGATGTGTGACGAGGGGGGGGGGGGGGGGTGAGAAATGTGACGTCACATCAAAATGCGCAACTTTAAATAAATATAGACAAGACGTTCCACTTAATTAAATAGACTTTTTAATAAATGTTTTCTCCTACAACATCAGAGGGCAGCGCCACATTAAATACGCACTACAATGACGATAGTTTAAAGCGATTTGAATCATGGTTTTTTTTTGGGGGGGGCAGAGCTTTGTGACGTCATATTTGAGGGGGGTCTGACTTTTTGTGACGCCGTGTGACGAGGGGGGGGGGTCAAAAATCGCGTGACGTCATTATGGACGGCCCCCAAATACTCGAAAGACGCGTGATGTTGATTCATAATGTGGAGGGAGAACCCGGAGGACCTGGACAAAAAAAAATACACCCGACCACGTGGGGGGGAGAGACACCGCAAACTACAAATATATATTCTTTGGTTCTTTCGGTAAAGTCACGTAGTTGAAAAAAATTATATGAAATGAATTCAATCACGACGTTTTGATTGCAACACAAGCAATTATCATCAGGTGTGACAACCACAGCAATAAATATTTTTTACTAAAACAGATGTCTTGCTGTGATTGTCACATCTGATGATGATTGCTTGTGTTGCAATCGAAACGTCGTGATTAAATTTATTTATTTTTCACCTTACGTGACTTTACCGAAAGAACCAAAGAATATGGATCCTTGCAGTCACGAAAACTTCAAATCTAGTACAAATATACAGCAGCAGGCATTGTCAGGGTCGGGATTGGGATCGAACCCACGACCTCCTGTAAACCCGGCGAGGGAGTTAACATCTCCTAGCCACCGTGGCATCAACTCTAGAAGATTTACCTCACGTGTCGAGAGCTGTGACCAAATATCTAGAGGAGTTTTTTTTTACACCTCAGATCTCCCCCCATTTAATTAAAAAAAATGTCAAGTAAGGTTTATTTTAAAATACATTAATATGCAAAGGAAAAACAAGTTAGGAGTTAATTAAGGCTGGGTCACAGGACATCTGTACCACACTGTAGATTTACCTCAGACGCATATAATCATTACCTCGTACATAAAGAAGGTTTAACATCAGGTCTAAAAGTGTTAACTCATTGCATTGTTTACATGGAGAAACATCGAGACGTTTTAATCAGATCAAGAGGTTTTACCTCAGATCTATAGGTTCATCACACTTATAGGTCTGATCTCTTTTTATTCTCAGATCAAGATGTTTTACTTCTATTAATGTTTTACTTCTGTTTAATTGAGCTATAGTCGTGTTATTTATGGGTTTACCTTAGGTGTAGAGGTTTTACCATTTATGGGTTTACCTTAGGTGTAGAGGTTTTACCATTTATGGGTTTACCTTAGGTGTAGAGGTTTTACCATTTATGGGTTTACCTTAGGTGTAACTGCAACTTGAATCACTACCTATGAGATCTTCTCTCAAAACTGCTCTAGAGGAGTTGTACACCCCTAGCTGCCACTGCTATTCATTGGCGAAAAATAAAATAAAATGTTTCGCTCCGGATGACGCTGCAAAGTATTATCTGTATTTTGATTTAGCGTGCTGATCTTAAAGGTGGATTGAAAAATTTGATACTCCGACTGATGCTTCTGTTGTTGTGGAGTAACTCATGCAGCCAGCTATGGCTCTAGGATTTGGTGTTACATGTTATTTATGTAGTTTATTGTAAAAATTCGGTCACAGTCCCTATGATCACTGTTACGTTGCAATTATGGCTTTATTTTTTGGTGATTTCGAAAAGTTTTTTTGGTTTGGACATGTTTGTTTTGTTGTAGTACGGAGTTAGACTGACGGCCTTAATCTAAGTTTTCTTGTGGTTATTGTTTGACTTGCATCCCACTGCGATTTTTTTGCACACAGCGTTGATGTACGGTGCTTTTTTCAGGAATATTTTGCTGTTTTTTCATGGATTTTCTGTTTGCACAGTCACATAGTCACTTTAAGATGTTTTTCTTGTTCGTGTTTTTGTTTTTTTGTTTGTTGTGGTTGCACCCGATTCAAGAGCCGAATGGCTCACAGGGCTATACCAAAATAAATAAACTAAAATAAATAAACTAAAAACTAAATTAAAAAGAGGTTTTACCATTCGTTTTAGCTATAATCGTCATTTACGTGCATCACTTTCACTGAAAAAGTCCACGACTGTGCTTCACAAAGGAAACTTAAGTAAACATTTCACTGCAGACGTATTTGCATGTTTATATT